TTTTCTTCTCTTCTTTCTGTTTTTCGGGCTCTACTTACATTGAGTGTCCATATGCACTGTAAAACTCCCTGCATAATTATAATAAAGCAATTTATATACATGAAACAAGTGGAGCGGTATGGCAATTGCGATACCGCACACTTGTGAAAGTAAAATCTGTTGGGCTCCTTTTGCATCAAGACAATTATTCTTATTGCCACCTTGCCAACAGGACACTGTAAAAAAAAAAAAAAAAAAAAAAAAAAAAAAAAAAACTTCGCTCCGCAGTGTTAAAAGTTGCTCATGACGAGTCTGGCCAATCTGGTGTACGTAAGACGTATGACCGAGTTCTGAGACATTTTTTCTGGCAGTGTCTGAAGAAGGACGTTTCATCTTATGTTAAGGTGTGTCATGTCTGCCAGGTCATTTCCAAGCCCAATCAGGTTTTGAAACCGTTCCCTCTGAGCCCAATTATTGCCGCATCTGAGCCATTTGAGCATTTGATAATCGACTGCGTGGGCCCGTTACCCCCGCTCGAAGGCTGGGTCATCATATCTGCTCACTGTGATGGTCCAGAGTACACGTTATCCAGCAGCTTATCCGTTACGTACAATAACAGCCAGGTCAGTTGTACGTGCGCTCACTCAGTTCTTTTCGGTGTTTGGAATCCCTAAAGTAATACAGTCTGACCAAGGCACTAATTTTTCATAACATTTGTTCAGTCAGGTTCTGAAACAGCTACGGGTGCGACAGTGGCGGCTGGTGAAAAATATTTTTGGTGGGGCTGATATAGCCTAGTGTATGTCTCCAACTAATCCGGAATAAGAATTCAAATAAACAATTGGACAATACATACAATTTAACAGTAATGATTTAATTTACTATATACACTGCATGAAAAGTGGGATTTTCGTCAATATACGGCACTGTAGATTGTCGTGGAACTTCAGGTTAGCGGCAGTTTACGGCCAATTGCAGGCTTCGACGAAAAGTCCCGTAAATTGTCAGAAATTGACGTGGAATTTTTTAGGCAGTGTTCCCCCCATGCCTCCCCCCCATGGAATTCTAGGGGAGGCTTTAACATGTAAATGAACATGCTGTGAGCTATACAAATGCAAATGCAGGGTTGCAGGGGGGGGGGGGGGGGGGTTTACCCCCCCCTGCAACCCTGGGTAAGAAAATCTCTGATACAAAGAGATCAGGTATAGCCTCTTACATTTTAGCTTGAATTGATTTATTTAATTAAAGTATAGAGACCAAAACAGATCTTTAGCTGACAGAGCAATACATTTAGGGCCGGATTTATCAAAGGTTTGCGTGTATTAAAACGTGAGCTATTTCACTGCGCACGCTAAAAAATGTACAAACTGATCTATCAACAGCGTGCTAAAAGCATTTGATCTTTAAAACGTGCTAAATAGCGCCTGTGATCCATTTAGTACTTTTTCTGCAATGAATATGCAATATGGGGCGTTTACACGCTAAAGTGCGTCTTGTGGGAGGAGAACATGTAAATATATTAATTTAGCACTCGCAAAGTGATTTATCAAACTTGAACGCAATTTTGCTAACGGTATCTGACTCTATATTTAACACGTTTCAAAAGAAGGTGCAAATGGTCTGTATGCGTAATTGCGCACACATGGCAGCGGTTATTGTCGCAAGAAGGAGACATGGAAATGAAGCAAGGAGACGCAGAGAACGCATTTTTTCACTCCGTGTGAATATTTTTGGAATGAACGAGGAAACGATCATCAAAACATATCGTTTATCTAGCATTGCCATTTTGGAGCTGTTGGGGGAACTCCGAATGGATTTGGAGCCAGCCACAAGGAGGACCCACGCAATAACAGATATCACAAAACTCCTTGCAACATTGCACTTTTTTGCATCTGGGTCATTCCAGCGTACGGTTGCAGCGAGAGCTGGGATCTCCCAATCTCGTTTTTTCAGAAGTGCTGTCCGACGGGGTCGGGGTTCTCCCCCTGCGCCTGTGGAGCAACGTGCCAAATGCTGCGGGGATCTCATCCACAGTCACAGGCCAATACAAAACACCTGTTTTTTTTTTGTTTGTTTTTTTTTACTGCAGCACATACCACCTTAGGGAATAAAGGTTGCCAATTTATAAATAAATAAATAAATATATATATATATATATATATATATATATATATATATATATATATATATATATATATATATATATATATATATATATATATATATATATATATATATATATATATATATATATATATATATATACTTATTTATTTTTTTTTGTTGGGGGTCACTGTAAGATTTAAATTTCTTAATGCACTAGTTTGTACAGACTACAAACTACTTTGCCGCAAACCACAAAACGCGCAAAACCATCATTTAAATAGGGCGTCTCCAACAGTTTTGCACCTTCCACCAGTTACGCAATCGCTCTTGTTAAATCACCCGCAAACCATGGTTCAGCCCCTCGCGCAAAATTCCACTTTGCGAGCGCAAATTACTGCACGCAAAATTGGATCTTGATAAATCCGGCCCTTAGAGCAGTAATTATTTTTTTTTAAATTTGCATTTAAGATAAAAAAATAAAATGTTGTCTGTCAATATGCTCAATTCACAATTACTTAAGTGGAAAAGTTTCAAGAAATGATTCTGAGATGATTCACTTTATAACATGGCGCATTATCCTGTTGGAAGTAGCCATCAGAAGATTGGTACACTGTGGTCATAAGGACATAGGTCAGCATGCTAAATTGGTTTTAAGTGGCCCAAAGTGTGGCAATAAATATCCCCCAAATAGATGGTAGAAATAGATCAGGCTCAGTATAGCCTAATTATAGACTCTTACATTTTAGCTTGAATTGATTTATTTAATTAAAGTACGCTAGATTACTGTGTATGCAAATGTTATGTAAAAAAAATACACAAAATAATTTACTTCAAAAATTAGTTTTAATCAGAATCAGTTGGCTGTAATGGTTAATTTTTTTTTTTAGATTTCCACTTTTTTTTTTTTTTGTTATTGAATATATAAGAAAACAATAAAAATCTCAAATAACAAGTCAATAACAAATATTTCAATACAATAAGAAATATCACAACTCCTGCTTTTGAAAAATAAAATTAAATGCACAGGCTGGAACAAAGTATAAAATAAAATAAAATAAATAAAAATAAATAAAATAATAATAGTAGTTAAAGTAAATTAATCAGTGGGGACTACCAACTGAAATTCTTCAATTAACTCAAACAATTTAATTGCATTTAAATTCTGCATCTTTCTCAGACATCTTTTGAAAAGGGAAAGTTCATTTTTGAGAGCAGAGATTGAGAGGGAGCATTTTGCATAGCGACATTTATGGATATAATACTTTGTTACAATTATTAGAATATTGATTAAAAATTCCAAATTTTTTTTTCTTTAATGGATAAACCGAATTGAATGTTTTGCCAGGAAATAAAATCTAAATTTATTGTTTTAGTTTTTGGGAATATATACAAACTATGCTCTAATTTCTAGATACCGATCTGTTTTTACTATAATTTAATTTGACAAACCGGGTCTTCTCTACATTCTTTTTTCTGTTTGGTGCGATTGCAATAGCGGGTCTTGATCTGGACGGACCGGAGGGGAGCAAAAAATAGCTCAGCTCCGTATTTTGACGGTGAAGGACGGAGAAGACGTACGTGGGCGGTGACGAGCGGAGGATGTGGAACAGCTCTCATTGATTTACATGACAGACAAGTAATACAGATAGTAGGATGGACATTTTATTAGAAATAAATCATACACTGTTCAGAATACGAAACATGGGGCTGATAGTTACATTTGTGTGGGTTCCAGCACATATTGGGGTGGAAGGAAACGAGAGGGCAGATAAAATGGCAAAAAGGGCAATTAAACATTCTATTAGTTTTATAGTTAAAATAAGTAAATCAGAAGGAAAGAGTATTATTAAAGAGAAACTTATGGAAATTTGGCAAAAAAGGTGGGATGAAGATAAAACAGGAAGATGGTTTTATAAAATTCAGAAGATGGTAGGAGAAAGAAGAAATGGAAGAAGAAATAGAAAGGATGAAAGAGTGATAACAAGGTTAAGATTTGGTCATACAGGACTTAATCATACACTTTTTAAAATACTGTTAGGTTTTATTATTTATACATCATGTGCACTGTTAGTTTGTTAGTCAGATTAGACAGAGCAGAAGGCCTTCCTTCACATTGTGGATGTCGTGGTGTGTACGGAGGTCATCTAATCAAGACAGCCTTCGTGTCTCTAAGAGTACACAGAATATGGGCACATCTTGGAGCCGGTCTGATAGGAGAGCTGCTGTATCTGTAACCCTGAGACAGAGAGGCAACCTGCATGGAGTTCAAGACATGGATGGCGTGTCAGTTTCTGATACGGACAGCTAAGCATCCACATGATGCAACACATAGACTCACAAGGTATAAGAAGAAGGGGATGACCTTCATCGGGGCTCAAACTTTGCCGGACGCTTGCGGACGTGATTTTTGAGACCACAGCTGTGTATAGCTCTAAGCATTTTTCTCTGTCCTGTAACGACCTGATCTAGAATAAACTCTGTTACTTTTTTACTCCTGTTTTTATAGTCCTTTTTTATATGGTTTTAACGAGTTTGAGTTAAGAGTAGTAAATAACTTGCTCCCAGGAAAAGAACCGTGTGAGGAGGCCCCGGGGCGTTACAGCCTTTACTTTGAAGGGGACAAATCCTTCCCACTTTAACAAATTGGTGTTTCCGCCCGTGACCTGGAAGCAGGACAACAGAGCCACCGACGGAAAAAGCTCCACAGCCTGCGGCCGAAACAACTGATAAGGTGAGGAGATTCCTTATTACAAAATATCTCCAGTGTTTTTACTGTTAAAACACTTTGGCTGTGTTGGATTTTCTGAAGTGAGCTGAAGCTTTTTATGCAAAAGAGGACAGAGAAATTGCTCAGAGTGATTTTAGTTTTTGTTTTTGCGGTTTTTGTTTTGTTGTATTTGTTGGTTTTTATTTTTCTTTACATTGCGAACGTGTACACATAAAAAAAAAAAAAAAAAAAGAAAAAAAGGAGAGAGAGAGAGAAAGAAAGTCGTGCGTTCTGCTGTGGGTAGCGGTTGAAAGTCCGACTGAAGGCGACTGCGCAAACGTCTTCAAGAACTATACTATTCACTAGGATAAGTTGGTTGGAAAGCCCAACGGTTTCTGCATGCAGAAAGGGACGGTGATTTTATTCCCGGTCTGCCTGCAGACACGAAAGATGCACTTCTGAAAACAGACGCACAGACAGAAACCAGTCACATAGCCGGCTAGAGTTTGCCAGTATACCTCCCATAAGGACATTTACGAAAAACCGAGACTGGAAATAAGCGAGCGGGTCAGGTTGAAACGGACCTTTGAGGTGTTTTTCTCTCTCCTTCTCTTCTCTTATAAAAGGAAAAGAGAGAGACGATAAAATGCTATTCCTCATAAAACTAGAAGAGACTGATGCCCGGATTAGGTAACTTGTTTGTCTTATCCTCAAAGTTGGTGGAGTGAACTAGGCGGAACTATATCTAAATCTTTTCTTTTCTCTAAATTTCCTTTCTTTTTCCTTTTCACTGACGGACGCATTTTTTGACGGACACACTTCCTTGATGGACACAGTTGTTGACGGACGCGCTTCCTTAGCAGAAGAGCGGCTCACTGAAGGTTGTAGGGAAAAGGTTTAAAGCCCAGAGGGATCTCACGTAAGACGTCGAGGTCTGATTTTATACACTGTGTGAACGGAAGGTGTGAAAGATGGATGCATGTGGACTAGAAATTGAATCCAGAAACACCTTGTTAAAAGTGAGTCTGGATAAAGGGAGAAATATGATCATGGCGAGTTATCCATTGAAGGATGCAGAACACCACATTAGAAAATTTGATGAATGGGTTGAAAAAATGAGAGAAGATGGAGTGTTTGGGGAATTAGAGGGGCCCCCTCCAAACACTTCTCAACGTGGTTTTTATTTGGATACACTAAAAAATAGATTGTCACAAGCTCGTGAACAAATGGCTGGTGCTGGTGTGTTCGGACGAGACAAACACCAGAAGGAAGAAACAAAACTTTTGGATTTGATTAGACAAACCCAGTTCAATTTTAGTAACTATTTTTCTGACAAGGACCCTGAACAGGAACAGGTGGAGCAAAACGGGGCTCAGGAAGGTGAGCAGGCACTCGACACTTCAGAGGATGCCTGTTATGGAGTTGCGTGAAGGTCAGATAAATTGTGAAATAAGGCCTACAGAGGAGGCGGTAAATAAAGCATTTCAGCGAATGTCAACAATTGATAGCATGGGCACAGAACATGAAGGGCACAGTCTAGGGGCAGCTGACAGTCTAAGAGGGAGAGATGAGCAGAGGAAGCCACATACGGATAGCAATGAGGAAGATATGATACAAATGGAAAGGAAAGCTTAATATATAAGAGGTTGATATATTTACAATTTACGATGTCTTGAAATGAACATTTTAAAGGTAAGAAGATCAATTAGTACATTTTCAGTGCTGTAAACCCCCGCCCAACATTGAGCTCCAGAAGGTGGATCACACAGAGCAGCCCTTCACTTAGAGGCAGGAGAGAAAAGGAAAAGAAGACACAGAGAGACTGAGTGCACACAGGGCCGATCACAGCAGAGGCAGGGCCCAGGAGTCTAGAAGCAGTGTTTACCTTAAAGACATCTACCAATTACTACACTAGAATGGTATTGGAATCTGCATTTAGAGTGACTGATTCAGGAGCTTATATTTGAAAATGTTAGACCACACAAGCTGAGTTTGTCAAACTGTAGCAAAGTGAATATAAATTAGACACTGATCACTGAGGATACTCTAAGGTGGATTAAATGGATCTTTAATCAGTCAACTGTTCAGAATAGAGTGGGTTACATCAAATAGATAAATTAGGACGGTTGAGTTCAGTGGATAAAAGAGAAGCAGACAGCAGTAGATGAAATGGAGGGTGAGTTGGATAGAGAAGGGGAGAAATAGGCAAAGAAGATCGAAGTGCGGGTTCAGTAAGAATTAGAGAAAGGAAGTAAATGCAGCAATACTAGGGAGGCCGGGATCCCACTATTTGTTTAGTTATGGAGGTAGTTTTTGAGAAATTTCCAGCAGCAGTGATAGATATTTTGATTGAGGGCAGCAACTGTCCTTTTATGGTTAATACGGGGGCCAGATACAGCCCCATGAATCTTTATGTGCCCACCTGCCAAAAAACTACACAGGTAATGGGATTTTCAGGAGAAAAACAAAACATACCACTTTTTCAGAACCCCTTAGAGGTGTTCTCATATTTGAAAATTCACACATGTCATTTTTGGGGGACGCTTAGAATTAAAAATCATTGGGTGTGAAAACTTATTTTGGTGTCTAACGTGAGCAAACAAATCTTAGGTTTCCATAAATGTGCACATATAGTTTAACAAGGATCCTAAAATGAGGCTGAAAAGCACTGGTGCAGAGGTCTTAAGACCGGACTGGTGAAAAGATTATGATTTTTGTTTAAATTGGGAAAAAATCCTCTAAGAAGATAAATCTAAATTGATACTGATGGATTAAACAAACTTTATGTGGCCAATGTCTGTCTGTCTGTCCTAAATGTGGAATGCATGTGAGGTAGAATGTGTGTGGTGAAGTTGGGAATGATTAAGAATATTTTTTGATGTGACATTAACATGATTTGCATTTTTACAGGATTGAGAAGGTACGGAGCCCCCTAGGGGACATGGGGAATTTTTTTTCTTTTGCGTTCCCTCGCAATACTTTTGCGTTCCCTCGCAATACTTTTGCGTTCCCTCGCAATACTTTTGCGTTACCTCGCAATACTTTTGCGTTCCCTCGCAAAAACTTTTGCGTTCCCTCGCAAAACCTTTTGCGTTACCTCGCAATAGGGCTTGGTCGTCGTGACCATGTTGACGGCGCACTTTACGGCTTCCTTAGACTATTGCCTGTGTTCTCCCTCTCAGCCGTGTTTTATTTCGTTTAATTTCACCGTAACTTGATTTCAACCATGGTAAACCGTTGCTGTATTGTGGGCTGTAACAGCGCATCACATGATCGCCGAGGGAAAAACCTACAAAATGGGATAACTTTCCACCGCTGTTCTGCCTGGAGGCGCAAACACGGAGACCAAGTTTCACAGATAACAAAGAGTCGTCGGCTAGCTTGGATCGCGGCTATAAGACGACAGAACAGAACTTTCCACAGTATCCTGATGTCAATGCGAGTGTGTTCCCTGCATTTTCATTCTGGTAAGTTAAAGATGCACGGTTTTATTTTATAGCCTACAGTGTTTCCTTCCTTCATCCGTGGCACCACATACAAGCATGAACGCGCGCCCAGAGACTGTTGATATAGCATTTTCATCCTCGTTGGTTGATATAGCATTTTATCCTCTTTGGTAGAACACACTGCCAGTTCCTACAAGGACAGGGACATCCCTCTCCATTTTCAAAAAAAACCCTGAGGTTGACAGCTGTCATAGCACCACTTATAAATTTTGCTGATCCTAGCGCTTACCAGCCGTCTTGTAATGTAATGTAATCATATAATACAATTTAATAATGTGTATATTGAGGATCATTGATAACATTATGGTTCTATATGTGTTCAACACTGCTGCTGTGGATAATAATTTTAAATTGTGTCACCAGGAAAACCAGCAAATGAAATGTACACCTCGCATCCGGATTGGGCACCATCACTACACTTGGGCCACACTGAGATAAAGGCCACACAGACTGCACGCTATGAGAGACAGGAAAAGAGAAAACAGCAAAGGACTGACAGTACACCTGCGAGGATGAGACAGCTATTGATGACCTTGTTCCACCCGGTAAGCCTTACAGAGCCAGAAGATTCAACACCGTATGTTGCTTTTGTGGCTTTTTCAGCTGCATGATGCACATTTAGCTAAAAGATGTCCTTATTTTATCCATAGTGGAGACACCAGCACCAGCTGAGGATGGAGCTGAGCAGACACCGCTGACAGAATGTGACTTCTGTCAGCGCCGGCGTGCTGAAATCAACCGGCTGCTGGAGGAGAACAGGACCCTGAAACGTGAGCTTGGCCAGAGACTTCAAGCTTAACACTAGCTTTGTGACCATTCATTCAGTGAAAGGAATCTCAAATCTTCATCAAAACATTATTCAAAATATTAAAAAAAAATTTAAGAATAATTTGCTGAAATAGAAATCAGCATTTGTTTGATACTTAGTGTTAGAAAAAAAATGTGTCCTAACAGGTTTTCTGAACCATCTTCTAATCTAGTCTCCCCCAGCTGCTGGTAGAAACAAGATTTTTTTACCATCATTCAGAAACTGGATAGGTGTTACATCTGTATTTTGTTGAAAATCATTTATTGAACATTGTTATTAATAAAATTTTAAGGAATAGATTAAATAGTCAAAGATCCGCAAAATATAAAAAAATAAACAATAGTGCAGTGCTGTGGCCATTCAAGTTAACTCCTAGTTTGAATCAGAGTCTTTCAAAGTGAACTATTTAGAAAAATGAGTGCAGTATTGACTGCGGGTTATTAAATCTGACCTCATAAAACACTGTAACGGGTAACTTTGAGCTTAAATCATTCAGTCAGAGGTATTATGCAGGTTTAAATGTCCTGTGCTCATTTCATTTCTTTTTCTTTTAAGTGATATAACAATATAACAGCGTGGTTGTTATACTTTACTGTTGTATAACTGTGATTTATATGATATGTATACACATGCATGAGGGGTTGAGGTTAACGTTTGCTTTCCAGCATAGAATGAAATATAATGGTGTCCTTACCTGCATAATTTATGTCTATTTTTTTTCTCCTCAGGTCTTGCACTCTCAGCGCATTAATGAGACTCCCCTGAAGCCATGGGTCATCATTGCTGACGATGGGCAGGTTTGCTGTGCACACTGTACATGCATGGCTGGAATTGCAGAGGCATGTACACATGTTGGGGCTCTGCTGTTTAAGATTGAGGCAGCAGTCCGCATCCGTGGGAAAAAGACTGTGACAGATGTGCCAGCTTATTGGAAAATACCAGCAGGTATCAACAAAGTCAGCGGTGAAGTCGCCCACAAGATGGACTTCACTTCATCCAAAGTGCAGAGGATTGCTCTGGACAGAGTCATCGATGACAACATTCCCATGCCTGGCCTACGGACACGGGCCAGCAGACGCACTGCCCAAGCCACATTGGACGACTTATCGTCAATGTTCCCTGTTCTTCAGAACCATAGGTCAGTTTGTATGTCCACAGTGAAGCCCTACTTTCACAACTATGCTGCTCCTGTCCAGCCAGCTGTGATCCCAAAACCCCTGCAAGACCGTCTGCGCGACCCAAAGTTTGAAAATGCTCCACCAGCTGTCCTTCTCCAGCACTGTGAGACAGTGAAAGACATTGCAGCTGCATATTATTGCACGTCGTTATATTACAATACAATTATAGATTATATTATTGTATATCATGACATATTGCATCGCAGCCTTTATTTATACAATTTAAGAAATGCATGTTGTTAAAAGTAATTATATAAGACATTGCACTAACATTGTTTTTTAATGTGTACTATAGTACCGGTAATAATTTGCACTACTTCAAATGTTATTGATATCTGTTATTACTTAATTTGATCTACCTCCAATTTTTATGTTTGTAATTGATGTTTCATAAATACGTATTTTTTATTACTTTGGAATTTTTGTTATACATAGACATTTTTTATAAAAAGCATAGTATTTTGTATTATTACATTGTATTGTTATATTTGCATATTATTGCACGTTGTTATATTATACAATTATAGATTATATTATTGTATATCATGACATATTGCATCGCAGCCTTTATTTATACAATTTAAGTAATGCATATTATTATAAATACTTATATAAGAATTTGCACTAACAGTGTTTAACTGTTAATGTTTACTATAACTACAATTTGTATAATAATAATTTGCAATATCTCCACTTTCCATTTCTCCATTGATGTTTCATTAAGACCGACTTATTAATAGGATTGAACATTTTGTATAAATACATACTATGTTATTGTAAGTAATTGCACTGCATTTTCATCGCGTCCATTTTTTATTTGTAACCATTTACCTACAAGCATTCAAACTGCACTGCTCTGTTCTGCGCTGCACTGTGTTCTCAAGTTTCACTACTTGCAAATAAACACTGAAAAGGATCTGATCGTTTGAGACCTCTTGCTTTTGGGTATGGATGCAAAACACACCTATGGCTAAAAAACAACCCACTTGTTAAATGTTTGCTTAGAGTGTATTGTTGATACAAAGAAATTGTCAATTCCATATTGAGCATCAATCTTTTCTTTAATACAGTAATTCATAAACACCAGAATAAAGTGGTTGACTTTAAGGTGTGGAAGTCCAGTGTAGTATTTCACTTTGACGGTGTCTTCCTTCAGGAAATCTTCATCCATTTTTCTCTGGCCAAGCTCACGTTTCAGGGTCCTGTTCTCCTCCAGCAGCCGGTTGATTTCAGCACGCCGGCGGTGTCTGCTCAGCTCCATCCTCAGCTGGTGCTGGTGTCTCCACTATGGATAAAATAAGGACATCTTTTAGCTAAATGTGCATCATGCAGCTGAAAAAGCCACAAAAGCAACATACGGTGTTGAATCTTCTGGCTCTGTAAGGCTTACCGGGTGGAACAAGGTCATCAATAGCTGTCTCATCCTCGCAGGTGTACTGTCAGTCCTTTGCCGTTTTCTCTTTTCCTGTCTCTCATAGCGTGCAGTCTGTGTGGCCTTTATCTCAGTGTGGCCCAAGTGTAGTGATGGTGCCCAATCCGGATGCGAGGTGTACATTTCATTTGCTGGTTTTCCTGGTGACACAATTTAAAATTATTATCCACAGCAGCAGTGTTGAACACATATAGAACCATAATGTTATCAATGATCCTCAATATACACATTATTAAATTGTATTATATGATTACATTACATTACAAGACAGCTGGTAAGCGCTAGGATCAGCAAAATTTATAAGTGGTGCTATGACAGCTGTCAACCTCAGGGTTTTTTTTGAAAATGGAGAGGGATGTCCCTGTCCTTGTAGGAACTGGCAGTGTGTTCTACCAAAGAGGATAAAATGCTATATCAACCAACGAGGATGAAAATGCTATATCAACAGTCTCTGGGCGCGCGTTCATGCATGTATGTGGTGCCACGGATGAAGGAAGGAAACACTGTAGGCTATAAAATAAAACCGTGCATCTTTAACTTACCAGAATGAAAATGCAGGGAACACACTCGCATTGACATCAGGATACTGTGGAAAGTTCTGTTCTGTCGTCTTACAGCCGCGATCCAAGCTAGCCGACGACTCTTTGTTATCTGTGAAACTTGGTCTCCGTGTTTGCGCCTCCAGGCAGAACAGCGGTGGAAAGTTATCCCATTTTGTAGGTTTTTCCCTCGGCGATCATGTGATGCGCTGTTACAGCCCACAATACAGCAACGGTTTACCATGGTTGAAATCAAGTTACGGTGAAATTAAACGAAATAAAACACGGCTGAGAGGGAGAACACAGGCAATAGTCTAAGGAAGCCGTAAAGTGCGCCGTCAACATGGTCACGACGACCAAGCCCTATTGCGAGGTAACGCAAAACGTTTTGCGAGGGAACGCAAAAGTTTTTGCGAGGGAACGCAAAAGTATTGCGAGGTAACGCAAAAGTATTGCGAGGGAACGCAAAAGTATTGCGAGGGAACGCAAAAGAAAAAAAATTCCCCATGTCCCCTAGGGGGCTCCGTAAGAAGGAGCACTGGGGGCATAACAGAAGGGTAATCGTATCAAACATGTTGCTCAGGGGCTCCACCTATGAGAGGCCGTGACAAGACCAGAGCAGGTTGCTGTTGTAAGGTGTGAGGTAATTTTTGGGTGTGGAGTGCAGCTGATATACTGTAGATTAATAGATTATACAGTAGATTAGAAAAATAATTAAATATATAAGTAAATATCCAGACAGAAGCAGAATGGGTGTTTTTACTTTTTGGGAAACTAAAATCTCAGACAGGGGCATTACATGATTTTAATTTAAAGGTAGTTTCATTTTCAATCATTAGAATTGCATTAGAGATTGATTAGTTTCATTTTTCTCTCATTCGGATTTCATTAGAGATTGATTAGGGACAGGATAAATCACACTTCGAGCTGGAAGTGGACACAGCATATGGCCAAGATACCCGCAGGAGCTCAGCAGATTAGCGGGGTCAACTTTTATAAACAAGGCTGAAGAGTTAAGAACAATTTCGGTGTGACCTGACCCTGGGTTTTTTCAGCCTTCAGTTTTTATCTATAATTATTTTTATCTGTGTGTAATGCCGTTTGGAAACTGCCTAGGCACGAACTGATTAATTTGCATCTCTAATCATTACTAACACTAACACTTTTCACTGTTCATCTGGGCCTTACCTTCTTTGCATGACTTGTTAAATTCTGCTAACTTTACAAATTTCTGTGAATGAAGTGATTAACTATTGACTAATTGATGTACTTTTTGATTGCTTTTTCCTGGTAACAAACCAGAGGGGTCATTTACTTTTTCCCTGCTTGTAGAGAGTGACAGTGCGGCTGTCAGTAAGCAGGCATGATTATTCAGAGGCACATTTAAGGAGGATCAGGAGATCGTTTTGCTTAAACATGTTCCTTTTTTCTTTTTCAGGCTGTGTTTGTAACAATCCTTAAATGTTAACATTTTTTCTTCCAGGACAGGCTGACAAAAGTCTCATCCTTCATTGTGTTTTGTTTAAGATGTGCATTAACCCTTATTTTCCCAACAGCTGCAGAAGTTCTGGCATGTGAAATGGACAACTTGGCTGAGAGTGACTACAGCAAGAGAGAGAGAGGGGTTCAGATAGTTATAAATTTTTTGATAGAAGGATTTGAATAGGTTCGAACTGACTGGACTGACTTGGTTAGTAACTGGACTGGATCGGAACCATGGATCAGGACATGAGAGAGATGGTGTAAGTACGCAGCATGCCAGAGAGAGGGTGCAGAGATTTTGAGCTGCATGTTTTGTTCCTGGCTGAAGGCCATTCTGGTGAGCTCTGGGTTTGTTTTAATTCCTCTCTGGTTCTGATATGACCTATGAGGTATAGATTGATGTGGTGGTTTGAAGCTCACAGACTTTTGTTGGGGTGGAACATTAAGAGCAGTCATGCTGAAAGAGGCATTTAACGAATGACAAGATGAACCAACAACTATTTGGAGAAGTCAGAGGCACCACTGGGGTTTTTGTTGTCTTACATGTTTGTCGTTGTTTGGGTCTGTATGTTTGTTTGTTTTCTGTTTTCTGTTTGTTTACTAACATCTTAGCCTTTATGAAAAAAAAAAAAAAAAAGACGTGGCACGCATGTTAATTTTGTTTGAATAGTTTTGACTACACTACAGATGGAAATGTTTCAAAATGAACAATGAATCTTTTTTTTTGGAGAGACATTGGACACTTTCTTTCTTGAGTCACAGGATGGATTAACCTAAAAGGGGCACAGAGACTAACTTTGCTCCTAAACTTCAGAAGGAGGGATGGTTTGCAGCTGCTGAGATGCGAACATTAAGGAAATGACTGGATGCCCACTGCTTTGGACGAGAAAAGAACACTGGCAGTGATGGGTTGATGGAAGGTCATGGGATCATCGGACAAGATGGATGAAAAAAGATAAGTGAACTGACACACCAGATTTCTTATTCACAATGAAAAATTATGGGCAACTTATTTTAAACCGGTTTATTAATACAGATCTATGAATAATATTTTTGCTTTACGGGGATCAACAGGTAGATGTAATATCTTTCTGAACAACGCGGCAGTAGTTTGGGGATTATTAGTATTATTGCTTTATTTATTTATTTTCTTAAAGAGAAATATCAGAAGCAATGGCAACAACATAGAGTATAAATTATAGGAGTAACTTTACCGACAGATTTTAAATGGTCTGCTAAATTTTCTCTATATCATCAGGGGGTGGGGTATTCTTACATAGAGGAATAAAAAAGAGGATTTAGAGATGTTTTACTATGTGATAAATTAGACTGGGTTTTTTTTGATAAATGGTTTGGTCAGTTGTTAATTAGCATAATATTATTAAAGGGACAACAAGTTGAAACTTTAACTTTTGGGAATGGTAAAGTAGCATCAACAAAATGCAATTTGGGAGAAATTAGAACATTTTTAGGAGCAAATGTTTAAAGTAAATGATGGTTTCTTTTCAATATAAGCAATAACGATGAAGACTTATAGTGTTAATGAGCTTATGGCGATTCAATATCAGGCCCAGGGACTAAAACTTCACCATTTATTTTATCTTTTTATTTTATTTTATTTGTTTTGATTAATTTTATTTGTTTTTTTTGTTTTTTTACTGCGAGCAGAGTTATAAATAGCATTTGAGGGGCTATATACAATTTGGGGGATGGGTAACCATACTTTTAATGCATGAAGCAATAAGAACACCTGACTTTACTTCACTAGAGCTGCAATTAATACTTTAGAGGGGATGCACACTTTAGTGTTTAGTTTATTTGAGATAACACATATGAGAAGAGATTATGTTTCCTGCACATTTTTTGGATCTGGTCAAGGGTCCAGATATGACAACTATTGACTGGTTCTGGGGATGTTGGAACAGATTTTTTTTGTTTGTTTTTATTTTGTTCTTTGTTTTTGTTTTGTTTGTTTTTTTCCTCATCGGAGCACTGTTTTTTGGAGAATATTTTAAATGGACTATAGCTGGACACTTTGCATAGAGGGGGTGCAGTCGAATTCAACACCTTCAGGAACTGTGTACTGCTGAGTTTTGGGAACGCAGCAGCGAGTCAGAGTACAATCCTGTGCTCTGAGCAGATGAACAATTTAATATGACATTTCCTCTTGAAGGGAGGAACACCTTTGACGCACTGTTTCCTTCTACCTCTATGTGATACTGCTGATGACACAGGTAAAGGCTTATCCTTCAGGGGGTGTGGGGACACATGGCCCCAAGACTCTTATGGTTCAAAGCTGCTGTGGTAACAGAGGGAAACCTGATGGACTTGTCCGAACATCGAACATAAAACGGGCAAATGTGATTTCTGTGATAAATATGAAACCATAGAACATGTTATATTAGAATGTCATAAATTTGAAAAAGAGAGAAGATATATGAGAAGAGAGTTTGAAGACATTAAGGAGAAGGTTAATTTATTAGATATACTGAGGAAAAATTTAGGGAGTAAACACATACAAATAATTATTCGATTTCTAAAGAAAACGAAATTATTCCATAGAATTTAATTATAGTAAGTGTGTTTGTGAGTGAAGGAATGATATACAAAGCTGTGCACAAATATGTTTATATTTTTAAGTGTGAATGTGTGAATGTATGTTTAGAAGAAGTTAGGGTAGAATGTATCAGGATCAATATTTAAACCATCACGAACCACACTCCATACCAGTAAGTGGCGGTAATGCTACTAACAGTTTGTTGCCAACCGCCATGAAACTCGACAAGAAGAAGAAGAAGACAGACAAGTACTCCGTACGTGAGCGGGGCGGAGCGCTGACGGAGTATGTGGAATCTGGGGGTAAAGGAGGACAAATACACGTCCGGCTGGGTGCAGCGCCGGACGCCGGACAGTGCAATGAAAATCCGGACTGTCCGCCCTAAAGCCGGACATCTGGCCACCCTATCTGCAGTCGAGCAACTTTGCGGGATATACGAACTCGAGGAAGAGAAGACGGGTGCACAACGCCACGCTAGCGGTAAATATATGTTCGATTACTGGTAGCTATGCTAAAAGCAGCCTAGCTTAGCTAGGCAAGCTAAAGACAACCTAGCCTAGCTAGGTAAGCTAAAAGCAGCCTAGCCTAAAGCTTTACTAAAGTGTATTTTTTGTGATTAACAGGAAGCATTATGCCGTCTTAACAACTCGGAGACTAATTGCAGGCGCTATGAACCGGCAGGGGTAAGGTTTAAAGAATATGCTTTCATTCTGCGGTAAAAGGACATGGATACGGATGGATACCGACCATAGCTGTACTTTTTTTTTTTTCTCACAGACTACAGTCGCCTCACAATGAGGCGGTGACCTCCTATTTGCTCGGATTTGCACGATGTTGATAAAGACGACATTGTGTGTAAGTGACTTGTTTTAATGTTTTCTCCTTCCTTGTTACTGTGACTTGCGTTTGATTTTTTTTTTTTTTATTATTCATACTACTCTCATTTAATTGTTTTCCAGCTGCCTGTAAGACGTATTATGAGACGGTATGCAGGAGCTTCAGATACACGCTGCTAGCCAGCACGCTGCGTGCGGAGGCTGCCAGGCTATCTGCTCGGAGTCGGGCCAGAAGAAAGAGGGTAAGACTTTATTTGGTTACTATTTTTCGGGTGCATTGATAGATGTGTTGTGTCCATATGCAGTGCGCTGATTCATGTTTTTTTTTTCAGCTGCTGAAGGCGAGGCAGAGTGTGCTGGCAGATGAGGAAGTGGAACTCTGGAAGTCCGCCACCGTCGACCTCATGTCCGACGAAGAAGAAGGCGTCGTTGGCGGTGTCTCTGGATGGATTGTACGGTCGTCGCCATTTCGTAGGCCGGATCTCACTGAACTCTGTGTTAAGCTGCAGTCCCGGTTAGAAGCGATGTCGAAGTACAAGGCCACGCACAGTAGGCGTCTGCACATCGGACCTGCCTCGGAGGGAATGCTGCCTGTTACCTCCAACCCCGAGGAAGCAAACGGACCGTTCACGGAGTTGTAATTTTTAGATACGCATGTGTTTGGATACGCGTTGTATATAGTTGTGTGTGTTTTAATAAAGCTCTTTCTTTGCATAAACAGCTTCCTGGCAAATCTTAATTTCCTGTATAAATTCATTCATGTCCTTGATGGTAGCATAATAATTGTGTAGTAGTGTAGGATAACATAAATACACAGCATATGAATGAATAAATATATGAATGAATAAATATATGAATATATATATATATATATATATGAATGAATAAATATATATATATGCCAACCAATCACGAGCGACTTCACTTGTTTAAAAAGAAGTGGTTCCGTCCAATACTCAGTAAGAAAATTAAAGCCTGGCGTGGCCACGTGTGGTTTTGCTGCCAATCACGAGCGATTTCATTTGTTTGAGAATAGTGGTTTCAGCCAATACTGAGAAGGTTATTCAAGCCAGACCTGGCCAGCCGCGCGGGTTTGCTGCATTCATATGCTAATTAGGGCCATTAGTACAGCTGATCGCTCTCCACCTACGTCACGGTCCGTTTCCGACAATTTGTGGCACGACAAACGCGGACAAGCACGGGTTGCAAATTGTCGGAAACTGACGAAAATCAGGCAGATCTGTGGGAGTTTACGGGGGTTTACGGGGACGTAAATCTCACTTTTCATGCAGTGATAATAACAGTAACAGTGATGATTTGGGTCACTGTGACGGGGTTCTTTGGCCTCCAAGAATCCAGGCTCAGTCAGTTTACCGGTGTTGGTGATTTATTGTGCTCAAAAACTCAAAACAGGGTGCAAAAGAAACTGAACATGTACAAGATACTCCGGGCCTCAGCCTCCCTCCAGTTACCAGCAATGTAACAAAGAAACAGAAAACAAAAATGGCAGCTTTTCTTCCCACAGCCCTCATTAAATAGTTTAAGCCCCTCACCTCAGGCTCTCTTATTTCTGATTTCTTCTCATAAATCAGTTTTGTCCATATATTACCTCCACAAACAATTGATGTACAAAAACAAATAATTTTTACAACTTAATTCTTTTACACAGATTCATTGACTTATTCAATTACACCAAACTGGGTTTGAACCCAGCAAAGACGCAGCCAGACTGAAGATGACAAGTCCCCGTAGCATAAACACGTACACACACACACAACCCCCCCCCCCACACACACACACACACACACGGCTAACCCCACTGAAATATTAAGTGGCCATTAAATTCACCTAGCAATAGTACATGATTGACAGATTCTCTGCAAATGTGGGACTGTCTGATCACAGCCCCAAGACAGAGACTGGGAGTCCGTCTGTGGAAATCCACAAATGCATGACAGTAGATAGGGAAATGTAGTTTATATAATTTGTTTTGCTTATAGGTACACACTCTAGAGAGTAAAACTGACATTTATGAGTTAATTTCTAAAAATATATTTTACGTTTCTCTCTTCTTATCAGGGAGGGCGGTGCCCCAGCGCCCCCTATGGGCCGGCCGCCACTGGGGTGCGACACAATAAAGCAACAGCATATCATCCAGAGAGTCAGGGGGCGTTAGAGCGTTTCCACCAGACTCTGAAGTCTCTCCTGCGCGCTTACTGTACAGAACTGGCAGGTGACTGGGAGGACGGATTGCCTTGGCTGATGTTCGCCGCCAGGGAGGTAACCCAGGAAAGCACCGGGTTTAGTCCAAATGAACTGGTTTTTGCACACACCGTTAAGGGTCCGTTGGCTGTGGTGGCGGACGGGCTGAAGGAGCCTGTTCCACCCAAAAACTTGGTGGATTATGTTAATGGTTTTAGAAGACGTTTGTATTGGGCACGGGAACTTGTTAAAGAGAAGTTGACTGTGGTGCAGAAAAAAATGAAAAGCCTGTTTGATCGGGGTGCTGAGGTTTGCACATTTCTGCCGGGTGATCAAGTGTTCGCTTTGTGTCCAATTATGACTTCTCCTTTTCAGGCGAAATTCACTGGTCCATTTACAGTTCTGGAACGGGTTTCCGATCAGAATTATTTAATATCTATGCCGAGCGGAGAAAGAAAACCCAGTTGTGTCATGTCAACACATTAAACAACATGTCTTTTCTCCCACACTGTTTACATTTGATCAATCCTTCACTTTATGGAATGGAAATGTTATCAAAGCTGTACATAACGTAATTTAGTTTTGTATACACTCTGAGTATACAAAATGACACTAAGTCATTTTTACCCTTTTTTCACATAAAGTATTTTACAATAAATTCTTTGTTCAAATTTATTTGAATATTATTACAATTTTATTTGGAAAAAAATGGAATTGATTTTATCCTGGACAAAACAAATTTCCAATATCATTGTAAACTATCATACGCTTCTGTAATATCACATTTACACTAACATTAACAAAATTCTTCCAGTTCTGCTCATCAAGCATTATTTACAGCAATATGATCCACTTAAGTATTACATTTTATATTCTAATACATGCACAGTAAAACATAAAGCAATAATTAATGACTTCATGTCCCAATGGTTGGTCCTGTGATGAACTGGTGAGCTGTCCAGGTGGGCCTCCTCTTCTGGCCTGATGACGGCTGCAGGAAGACACCAGTTCCTGCTGTAACCTTGAAGTTTCATTGGATTGATGGATGAAGAACGGAGACCCTTTGACTCTGGAATAGGCTTCCTCCTTATCCCATTGAGGTTCATTATGCCTGAACCTCCATCACTCTGTTGACATCATCTGCTTCATCTGTGTCCTGTGGAATTTAGACAATAAAAATTTTTTGTCAGACTAAATTCTCTTTAGTCTCTCTTGTATTTCTCTCAATCTCCTCAATAAAGATTTAAACATTATCTTTCAAACAGCAGCAGTGAATCAGCTCCTGTGGACATTAAACAATCAAGAAATATGTTGATGTTGCTCCTCTGACTGACGGTTAAAATTTAGAAAGTTTCTGAAGGACATTTTTTTCCTTACTCAGCCCACTTTACAGCAGCATAATTTTTAGCTTCTCTTCAAGTCAGATATCAGGTTTAACATCCATACATTAAAATTATTGCTTCAAGGAAATCAAGCATTATTATTCTCTTTGCTAATGATGAAAATGTGGCTTTAACCAACAGTGTAACCTTAAATGTATGAATAAAATTGAAATATAAGTCTCCAATTTCTGTTTCAAGCATTTTAAATAAATTTTACACATTAAATATAAACATGCTTACCTTCTTCGCTTGTTTGTTGGATAATCTAAACCAGCTGAAAGAATAAAAATAACGTGAACAAACATGTAGCAGAGACCAGCAGGTCTGCGGCTCATAGAATCAGCTCATAGAAAAATTTGTCTCACCTCTGAAAGATGCAGACTGCACTGCAGAGCATTATGATCCCCAGGATCTTCAATATAACACAGAGACTGACTCCTGGCACCGGATAAAAGAAATGCTTAATAGATGTAGGATTTTTTTATGCAAAGAATAAAAATGAAACATTGAGAGAAAAACTGAGACTCACTTGTAATATTTTTTAGCTTAAAATATTTTACATTTGAATGATTAAACAACTCAACCTTTGAACTGTTTTTCAAAATTTAACAGGAAAGGCCCTTGGATTAGATTTTTTAAATTTTCTGTGCCTATAAATGTGGTTTCATTAAAAACCAAGAGTTACAATGTACCTTCAGTATTAAGTAGAATCACTGCTGATCTCTGATTCCCCAGATCATTTGTAGCCTCACAGTAATACTCTCCTCCCTCAGTAACAGCGAAGCTGTAAACCTGCCCCACAGATACATTAATGGCTCCATGTTTGCTGTTCCTGAACCAGGTGAAGCTGGCAGGAGGCTTGGCTCTGCTGGAGCAGCTCAGCTCCACCCAGCTACCTGCTGACACCAAACCTGATAAACTGATGGATGCTGAGGTGTCTTTAGGAGCATCTGAGGAAAATGGGACACACATGAACTTTATTGATCAGAAACAGCTGAACCATGACGTGCTGACAGGATCACTAACATGAAACACTGAGAGTCACTTCTGTCTCTGCTGTCTTGCTTCCTCCATTCACAGGATATCTGGCAGAACAGCTGATGTTGTATCCATCATGTGTGTCTGACAGAGTGATGGTCTCCTGGATTTTAGTTGTAAAGGTTCCATCTGCGTTTTTCTCTGTTTGTCTCTCAGAGTCTTGTTGGAGATTCCAGGTGAGTTCAGGAGGTGAGTGTGGACAGGGAGTCACAGCTGAGCAGCTTATAGTGACAGACTGATGCTCCTTCAGATCACCAACAGGGATATTAATGCTGGGACTCCAAGGAGAATCTGGGGTTTCAAATTAGACATTAAAAAAAACAAAGAAAAATATATCAGTTTTTTTTATATGTGTCAGCAGATCTATGCAAGGATCTTTAATAAAGCAGATTCTGGATGCAGTGCTCCATGTTTTTGGAGGTTTAAATCAGACACACATTTCACAAAAATAAATATTAAGAACATATGAATTATTTAGAATCATTTATCATTTATGAAGCATTAATAAAAAAAAAACAAATATTCAACTCATTATCTTAATTTGTAAAGTCTGTCATTCTCACGGAATAATGCTTAGTGTAGTACAGAAAGCAGAAGATTAGGAAAGAAAATATTTGTTTTATCCAATTTCTTTAATGTTGACTTAAACTACGCAAAACTAGTTATTTAGCACTTTTCCATACCTTCATCACAAAATGCTGTGATGCAAAAAGCCAAAACCATAATTCCATTCTATCAATTATTAAACAGCATTATAATAATTAAATTCCGAATTGACTGTGTATGATGTGATCATTAATAGATAAAGTTTTAATTTTTAAAACATGGAAACCAGCTAATGTTTCTACTATTACAGCTACTGTAAGATACACAGCACAAGCAAAGAAAAAATATTATTCCAAACCGAAATACATAAATAAATTTAGAACAAAAACAGTAAATTACTTAATTTTACTAAACATTAACATCATACTTAAATATTGAAGCTCTCTTACCTTTAACTGTTATACTGAGAGGATCATCACAAGCTGTTGATTTGAACGGCTCGTTCTCAATCCTGAAGAAGTATTTGTCTGTATAACTGGTCTTTACATCAGGAAACAGAGTGGTGCAGTTTTTCTCTCTCAGGTTTCCAGTAATATTCAGTGAATAGGTGTTAACTGAACCACTGCTATTGAAAATAACTCCCTTTTGATCAGAGCCATAACTGACACCACCTTTCATCCAAACTCCATAGATAGTTCTGCTGCTGTTATAGCTGGTATCCTCTGTATCATAGATACATGGGATTTCCAAACAAGATCCACTCAGAGCTTCAATCTTCTTTGGTGTAGTGATTCTGAGGGCTGGTTTTATACCACCACAATCAGCCAAAGTAGCTGTAAAAACAGACAAATGATGAAGATGATGTGGAGCAAAATCTGCCTGCAGAGAATCTTTATGATCCACAAACTCCAGTTCAGCTGCAGCTTATTGTGGATCCTTTAAATAACATCAGGATCTAACATTTCAGACTAGAAATGATTCACTTGAGGTCTCTAATGAAATGAAGTGAACAAACAGCTCACCTGGAAAGAAGACACTCAGTAACATGTTGACTGTCAGCAGGTTCTCAGAAAGAGCTGCCATCAGATTCAGATGATTCTTCTTCATTGGTCAAACAAGAAAAAAAAAAAATTTGCTGACTTTAAATGCTACGTCTGAATATAGAGGTTCATCTTATAGCAAAGCAGCTTTGAAGGTACTGTAGACATTAAAACGTATTTACTAAAGAGAATACTTGGTTAAATGATTAGTTAGAAATGTAAACTTACCAAAAATATCTGCAGTTTAGTCAAAAACAGTTTAGGTTTAGAACCAGTTGATCTATTTAGATCAGCCGATCAGCAGCAGATTAAACAGCCACCTTCTTTATGACCAGATGTGTTACTTAAAGGAGTCTCCATCCTCTTCTTCTGATTTGACAAATGAAGTCATCTAATAGAGTGCTCAAACAAAAAGTTATCTAAGTGATAGTTTCTTATTTACATTTAGTTATAAGAATCAATGAGTTTGATCACAAAAAACAGTAAAAAACTAGCAATACATCGAAAATACACCCAGCTGCCATTTTTCGTTTAAAACTCAGCGCTGTTTTTTACCATAGAAATAACTCAGCTTCTTCTTTTCACTTCAGCTTTTTTTCTGCACTTTGTGCAGCTATCAGTTCGTATCTGAACATTTCTTCATGAAACTCTGGTACATAGATGGCAAATCATGAAGAGTTAATACTGTGTTTTAGAGTTTATTTAAAATAAGATTTTTGTGTTTTATCAACTCAAACATGTATTGAATCTAATCTATCTAATTTCACTAAATTTGATGCTCATTCTTGTAACGTGTGTAACACTGAAAGCTCCAACTACACCAGGAAAATGTTCTATTGTTTAATCTGCTCTTTGGATTTGATCTCTTTAGAAACTACTTTATGCTGTGACAGAATCAGTCTGATATAAATCAAACCCAGCCTGGTGGAAAATTCAGTTCAGAGTCAGCTGACATATTCAAATTCACTGTATGCCCTCTCAGAAATGCTTTCTTGATTAAGGTAAGTACACACTAACCACAGCGATTAAAATGATTTATATATTTTTTTCCAATTAAAAGATACATTCAGGAGTGAATTGATGGTCAATGATGCTAATGGCACAAATTAGGCAAATAGAGTGAAGTGAAACAGCAATAAGCCAAGTGCACATGCCGATAGAGCAAAGAGGAAGTTTGCTCTTTGCTCTATTCTGCTCTATTCTTATGTTCACATTTAAAAATATGAACTTTCTGTCAATACCTACTGTGTTAGATGGTCAATGACTGGGTAAGGTAGTGATGTTGCGTGCAGAAGCACAACACAGACAAAGCTTTGTTCCATCAAAAGCTCATTAAAGATTGATCCATCCCCAATATTGATCCATTTTGTATACAGTGTATACAAAATACAATTTTGTTTTGTAAATTTTTCAGACGGTAAATGAGAAGCAGCTTATCAGTGAAATGAACATTTCCATTCCATAAAGTGCAGCAGTGATAGAATGTAAATAGTGTGGGAGAATAAAAAGAAAAAACATTGTGCAAAAAAGCACATTGATACGAAAGTTCAGAGCAATATTTTATATCATATACATAAGATGTAATCCATCAACGTGCTTCTATCTCAGTTCTTGTAACTCATTCTGGTCCTACTTCTACTGAAGAAAAGTATTCACTAGATGTATTCACATCCTCTTTGCAAAATCTACCATCATCTGTCCTTCCACATTTCTGTTCTAAATACCAAAAATGCTCATCATGACCTCATCTCTAGTGAGGTGTGAATGCATCTCAGGCTGAGTCACACTAAACACAGAGCAGAACATTAGTGCAGAGCATTACTCACACACTCTGGCATATATCGTCCTGATGTGTGTTCGGGGTTCGGTATTTGGGCTCCACAAAACAAATACCTTGCAAAAAAGAAAATAATTGTTCAATCAAAATAAAAACCATTAAATGTCCAGATTTTGCACTGTGAAAGAGAGACACCTAAACTATTATGGCTCCAAAGATAGAAACAATTTTAACAACTACAACATAATTGTTTGACAGATATTATTTGAAACACAGAAGAAAATCATATTTTGCACCTGATTTATAATTTCTGTTTTTTTAAATCCCTTTCAAACAAATATAGGTTTTTTTTTTATATAAAACAGATATTCACATACAAAGATGGTAAACATGCTTCTAGTCTGAATAAGAAACAGCTCTGGTGGTTTGTTACCATCTCTAAGAGAAGTCAGAACACAACAAACAAACTTCTTTTTATTATTTTAAAACTTCCTCTGAGGTTTAAGGAAACATGACACAACCTCTAAAGTATAGATGCTGCCAATTGAGCTTAGTTTTTAAAAGGCTGAAACATATCAGTAAACAACAAGTAAACGTTTTAAATTAGGCTAAAGCTTATCAACAGGGAAAGGAACTATCTCGAAGCATTGTTTTAATGTCATTCAAACTGTGATTCATGAAATCTTGTTTACTTGATGAAGATTTTAGCTCTGAACATGCAAGAGTGTGACCCCCCCCCCCCCCCCCCCCCCCCCCCCCCCCCTGGCACATTTACCAGAGACCTGCAGAAATAACACAATCCTGTCCATGACACAATGGTTGGTCCTGTGATTAACTGGTGACCTGTAGGCTGTAGCTGGGCCTTCTCTTCTGGCCTGTTGATGGCTGCAGAAAGGCACCCGTTCCTGCTGTGACTTTAAACTTCATTGGATTGATGGGGGGAAAAAATGAGATCCTTTAACTATGTATCAGAGGTCCTCCTTGTCCTCCAGCCTGTAGATGAAAACTTATTTCAGTGATGCTCTCAGAACATTTTCTCAACTGGGTCTGATGTGGAGTTGGACATTTGGCCCTAAAACACCTGCAAGACATTTGAGATCTGTCTGAATATATCTGCTGTTATTCAGGAGAAAACAGAAAGACTCGGACTGAGAAAGTCAAGAATGAGCCGAATCAGACAAGAGACGATGGACCAGAACAAGGACCAGCCGAAGACAAACTAAATATAAAGAATTAGTTCAGATGTCCATCTAAAGGTTTAATTATAAGCTCACTATTATTAGCTACATCGAGTTTGATTTTTTAACTTTTGAAACTAGGAAGAGAAAACAAGGCAGATGAACAAAATGAGTCCAACTGCAACTGTGACTGGGAGAGGAGATCATTTTGCTAAATCCAGGAGAACAGTAACAACATAAAGATAATTTAAGAGTGACAAGTTGTGTGGAGGTTTTTAGAGGACCCAAATGCAGAGACAGAAGCTGAGGTGGTTCGTAGCTGATTTAATATCCGATGGTGGCAATTGAAGCATAAATCCAAATATGACACATCACTGAACACAGGAACCAGAAGAAAGAGGAGCATGTAGGTCATGGGAGGAATGAATGAAGAGAATCCAGCAAACAGTAACTGAGGAGAAGAAGTATATATGCCAAACAGAATAAAGAATTGAGTAATCAACTGATGGGGAGCAGGTGTGGACATGATCTACAGTAGAAGGGAGCTAGGCGAACAAGACTGACACAAGGGGGAAACAGAGGGTAAGCAATAAATACATAAGAACTCAAATACGACCATAAAACAACAACTGACACAAAATGGAAATTAAACCAATGAAAACCCAAAAAGAAAACATAAACAGAACCAAACAGTGCAGAACCATGACAAAGGCTCTATAAACAAAATAATACTTTAAGAGTCTATTAAAAAATGATAAGTATATTTATTTTACCTTCAATGTTAAAATGGATCACTGATGATCTCTCATTCCACAGATCATTTGTAACCTCACAATAATACTCTTCTCCCTCAGTAACATTGAATCTGTAAACCTGCCCCACAGATACATTAATGGCTCCTTCTGTGCTGTTTCTGAGGCCCCGTCCACACGAAGTCAAAACGAACACGAAACGCTGATGTTTTCCAAAACGTTTGCGTAAAATAAATGTGAGCGTCCACACGAATGCATGAAAACGCTGCAAAATGTATGCAAGGCCTGTAAGTGGCGCTGTGGTGCCAAAGCAAAAATAAGCGACGAAATGTTGGGCATGGCACTAATATTTATACATGGTTGCCCTGCGGGTCCATTTTCGTGGTTAAGTCAAATTCAGGTGCTGAACTATGTCGTCGATATTGCTCTGTTCTTCCTGGAGATATTCCAGAAGAAGAAGATTCTGTTGTAAGCCTGACAGCAGGGTGAGTAGCATTAGCAGCAACGGCGCCATTGTTGTTGTGATGTGTCGCGCATGCGTGTTTAGAGGCGACGCTATGACGCATGCGTGTAAAAAAAAAATATGCGGTTAGGGCTTTAAGATGGAAACGCGAAAACGGCGTTTCGAAATCTTCCCACTCTGAAGGCTGAATAAAAAAAAGATCGTTTACAGACCCCCGAAACGCCGGCTTCGTGTGGATGAGAGGCTGGTTTGGTGAAAAATTTGTGCGTTTAGGCCAGGGTTCGTCTTCGTGTGGACGGGGCCTGAACCAGGTGAAGCTGGCAGAAGGCTTGGCTCTGCTAGAGCAGCTCAGCTCCACCCAGCTACCTGTTGACACCAAACCTGATGGACTGATGGATGCTGAGGTGTCTTTAGGAGCATCTGAGGAAAATGGGACACACATTAACGTTATTGATCAGAAACAACTGAACCATGAATGTATGTCTCTGTGTGTCTCTGTGAAGATTCTCAGTCATTTAGGTCAAGATTGAAAAGTTCAGTTTAGGTAAGTGGACTTGAAGTTTTTTAGATGACTCTTCGCCCTTCATCCAAGAGGCTTCAGTTCTAAGGGATGATGGGGACTACTGAGATTAATATACTGTAGGTGGAACAAAGAGTTAGGGGAAAACAAAATGTGGCCTTGATTCCCCCCTCTTGTCAAAGTGATGTCAGTCACATGCCTCCTTGAATTGTGAGTCAGATGAGGCCACATGAGGGGTGAATCTTGTAGGTATTGTTCCTGAACGTGCTCTGTAAATTGGCGACAGGTTATGTCTAAGAGCACCTCCTGTTGTGGAGAGATTTTTTTTTCCAGGTTAAAAAAGATGGCTTCCTCAACCCCTCTTTCAAACCACCTGTCTTCCTTGGCCAGAATATGGACATTGTTGTCCTCAATGAGTGTCCTTTGGCCTTCATGAGTAGGTAAACGGCTGAGTCATGACCTGAGGAGGCAGCACTCCTGTTTTGAGCTATGTACCTGTGTAGCGGTTGCTTGTTCTCCCCAGTGTACAGGTCTGTGCTCTGTCACTACACTGAAAGGCATAAACCACATAGTCGGTCAGTCTTTTTTCTCAGAGTGTTGCTGGTTTTGAAGTGTGAATGACAATGTTCCTTCTTACGTTTTCTTACCTCACAGCAGGCCTCTTCTTCCTGTCTTCCATGATGTAAAGTGGAATGTCAATCAAGGCTGTAATCTTTCATCAAGTTCATCTTCCGGGGTGAACTTGATGCTTCTGTTCACTGCATTGATGTGGACTGTGAATGTGCTTATATCCATGATCTTTATTTTGACCTATGTGTCATTTACGTATCTGAACCAGTGACTGGGTTTTGTTCCCATGTATGAGTCTAGAGCTCTGCTTTCCAGTTCTTGTTTGTTTGCCACTATGGGAGACACAGGAAAGCTGTGAGAATGCACAATGAACTCTCCTAAGTCTCTCAATGATTAAAAAACTTACATTAAGCTAGAAGACTTTTTGATTACCAGACATGTTAATAAAAATAGCATAAACTGCCATGTTATGGTGTTTTGGGGTATGTTTTATTTGAATGACAGGTCCATCAAATGGCAGTGGCAGATGTCATTAGAGAGCTCCAAATAAATCACTGAGTAATGAACCTTTGGGTGAAGCAATGGAGCAGTAGGCCATCAGATCAGTGAAGCAGAAGCACAGCCAGAAGATCCAGGATCTTTTCTGTGATCCCAGCAACACCAGGAGGATGTGGAAAGGCATTCAGATGATCACTGACTACAACACACTATCCCTCCGGTAGATGCAGCAAACACTGACTTCCTAAATAAACTGAAAAACTTCTTTGGAAGGTTTGAGGCACTAAACAGCACTCCAGCAGTGAAAGCCGTTCCACACCAGGGGGAGGAGACACTAAACCTGGACGTAGCTGAACTGAGGAAAACTAAGGAGAGTCAACCCAAGGAAGGACCCATGGCCTGATAACATACCTGGGCAGGTGTATAAGGAGTGTGCAGATCAGCTAGCTGGTGTCCTCACAGACATTTTTAACACCTTGCTGGACCAATCCATGGTGCCAGCATGCTTCAAGTCTGCCACCATTATTCCAGTCCCAAAGAAGCCTCAGGTCAACTCACTTAATGATTATCAGCCTGTCGCACTGACTCCAATCGTGAAGAATTGCTTCGACACACTGGTTAAAGAACACGTCATCTCCAGTCTGCCGCCAACATTCGACCCATTCCAGTTCGCCTACCGATGAAACATGGACACCATCTCTGCTGCTCTCCACCTGTTAGACTTCCTCACCAACTGACCTCAGTCAGTCCGCGTCTGACATAACACCTCTGATGTCATCATCCTAAGCACAGGCTCCTCTCAGGGCTGTTTCCTGAGACCTCTGCTGTTCACCCTGATGACACATGACTGTGTCCCCAGGTTCACCACCAATCACATTGTGTAGTTTGCAGACGACACAACGGTGGTGGGCCTCATCAGAGACGACAATGACCTGGACTACAGAGAGAAGGTGGAGCAGTTGTTGGGCTGCTGCAAAGATAACTGATTCTGAACATGAAAATTAAGGAGATCATCTTGGACTTCAGGAACAACCAGCCTAACCACGCTCCACTGGTCAGCTGTAGAGGTGGTCATCAGCACCAAATTCCTGGGGGTGCACATCACAGACACCCTCAAGTGGAATGTAAACACCACCTCACTGGTCAAAAGAGCACAGAAGAGCATGTACGTCCTGCAGAGGATGAGGAGAGCCCACCTGCCCCCACCCATCCTCACCACCTTCTACAGAAGCACCATATAGAGCGTTCTGACCAGCTGTCTCACTGTGTGGTGTGGAGGCTGCAGAGCCTCAGACTGGAAGAAGGTGAGGAGAGTGGTCAAAAAAGCAGAGAGGATCATCGGGGCTCCTCTTCCCTCCATTAAAAAAATTTCGTCCCAGCGCTGCATGTCCCGCGCCCGTAACATCATAAATGACCCCTCACACCCCCACCATGGACTGTTCTCCCTGCTGCCCTCTGGTAAGAGACTTTGAAGTATCTGATGCAGGTCCAGCAGATCCCAGAACAGTGTCTTCCCCACTGCCATTAGACTGCTAAATGTTATATAAAATGGGTTATTAAAAAAGAGCTGAATGTTGGAACTGTAACAGTCGTATTTTTACATTATCACTGCTGCTTACCTTTATCAAGGCTGCACTTTAAAAAATTGAAAAAGTCTAGAGAGCTGTACAAAGCAAAATTTCTTTTTGTATACATTTGTGTACAAAATGACAAATAAAATCTGTCTAAGTCTCTTAAAATGCTGTGTGCTATATTAATAAATCTACATTGAATTTCCAACAAAGGCCCATCAGCACTTCCATTTTCAACACATCCTGATTCCTGTTTTTTACGTATTGTACTGGATGCATGTAGGAACCATTGGATTTCTGACCATGGATCATTGCTTAGTTTTTAAAGAGGATTTTTTTTACATCTTATTCACTACGAGTTTCCTTGTAAAGAGCAAGTTGAATATGAAGACACCTAAACTGTAAGGCCTTTAAAGGAATAGTACACCCAAAACATGATTAGCCTTCATTTTCTACTCACCCCCATGCTGAACAAAACTCTGGAGTACTTTTTTGATATCTCAAATGCATCTGGAGATCTGGGAGGCTTCTTGCTGTCTGCTGACATTCAAATAATGGAGGTCTATGGCGCCCGAGACAGAAAGGTCCACAAAAGTCCACAAAAACTTGTCAATATTCCTCCATACTGCTCGTCCAATGTAATCCAAGTGTCCTGAGTGGGTAGCATCCAGAATTTACTCGAAACGAAGTCATTTAGAACGTTTTAGAGCCTAAACAGTAGTGTATAGGATTTCCTAATAGCGCCCCCATGCGCGCTCACGATTCTACGGAAGCCGGCAGACCAAACCAGCGCATTCAGCTCGGCAAAGAACTCATGCTCTTCCTCAACACTGAAGTCCTCAGACATTTTTCTTTCGTTGTTTCTTTCTTTGCACAGGTAAACAGCACATTTCTTCTTCTACGCTTGCATTATCGGCAGACCAGACGCTGAATGCGCACTTTCTTCCGGTTTGGTCTGCCGGCTTCCGTAGAATCGTGAGCGCGCATGGGGGCGCTATTAGGAAATCCTATACACTACTGTTTATGCTCTAAAAACATTCTAAATGACTTCGTTTCGAGTAAATTCTGGATGCTACCCACTCAGGACACTTGGATTACATTGGACGAGCAGTATGGAGGAATATTGACACGTTTTTGTGGACTTTTATGGACCTTTCTGTCTCGGGCGCCATGGACCTCCATTATTTGAATGTCAGCAGACAGCAAGAAGCCTCCCAGATCTCCAGATGCATTTGAGATATCAAAAAAGTACTCCAGAGTGTTGTTCAGCATGGAGGTGAGTAGAAAATGAAGGCTAATCATGTTTTGGGTGTACTATTCCTTTAAGTTCAGAGACAGTTTTTAAGAACAGTATCAGTTAACTCTTTCTGGAACTCAGTGATGATTCCCCTTTCTTGGCAAACCAATGTGAATATCAAACATGGTTATAGATTATACATTGGTAAGAAACTTCTAAACAGGTTGGTTACTGTCTCTATAAGAAGCCCGAAGAACACAAC